TTACTTCGTATCCCGGCTTACATTTAAAGAAAAAAAAGAAAAAAAAAAACACTTCGTATCTCTTTAAATAAAATAAGGGTAATGTTTTATGTAGCCCTAATAGCTATGAATACAAGCACATATAATAACTTTTCTTATATGATATTTATTTAGAAATGCATGATAAAATTACGCACAAATCAGTGCAGTTAATGTTGTATATTCATTTTTAGCTCTTTATATGTAGCCATAGGTCCCTATGTATAGCATTTTCCATAAAATAAAATAATTAAATTTTCAATAATGCCACAATATTGTTTAAGTTTTCGATTTTGAATAAAACATGACCACGCGAGGAATCTAATTACTACGTAATTTTTATGAAACTTTGAATTAAAAATCAATAGGTGATTTAATTGATGGTAATAGTACACTTGTGACTCACAACTTAAAGTGATAATTTATTTGATCTTCTATTATATTGTATTTTTTTTATACGGTAAAATAGGGTGGGGGACCCCCCCTATCACAGGAATGGGGGATGAGAATTGAACCCCCAACCACTTGGGGGGAAGATGAAGGGACTAACTGTCCCTCCATCTCCTTTGTATGCTTGTTAAATAGTTCATGTATTTTGCACATGAAACATGAAATTTATGTAGTATGTTGGGAGTGTTTGGCAATTAGCTTTTTGCCTAGCTTTTGGCTTTTTAGTTTGGTTAAACAGCCAAAAAATATGTTTGGTAATTGGTTTTTTTATTGGCTTTAAAGTTACATTTTCCGCCAAAAGCTATAATAAGTAGCTTTTTCTATTGGCTTTTGACTTGTTGGCCCACTTTATCACTAATAAACAGCTAACAATCATTAATAATATTACCACACTTTTGTAAACAGCCGGCTTAAACAACTAACTTAAAAAGCCAATCCATACAGCTAATACTACTAGCTAGTCGAACAAGCTAACAACCAACGGCCAACCGCCAATTGCCAAACAACCCTGTTGTATACAGAATAACTTTAAGATGTCAAATTATTTTATTATAATAACCAAATTTGTTTAAAAAAACGAGTTTGGCGGAAACGAAATGTCTTTGTATAATTTTATATGTGTAATTATTATCTATTTAATCAAATATCCACCTAACAATTATTGTATAAGGTCTTATGAGGGGGAAAAAATGTATAGTCCTTTTTTTTTATATAATACATCAAACAATGGCGAAATTCTCATTAACCTAAATTTCAAATTCTTAATCATTATTCAAGTGCTAGAAAAATGTGAAGAGATTGTAATACATGGGTACTAGGTAAAGTGAAATTATTAAAATATGCCTTAACAAACAAAACAATGTACAAACATAAAATATGCATGTTATACATGTTTAAAAAATCATTAGTATTAATAATATTTTGAGGTTTAATCTATGATAATATGAAGATACTTGAAAAGGATGGAACTTAGAAAGTAAAATAAGTTAAGAATAATTAGAAGTGGTGGGCATCATAAAATTATTTGAGGTTAGATGATTATAATTATTGTAAATCAAAATTGGGCAACGGATGTCACAAAGGTGGAAAGATTGACAACTTTTTTCTCTTATACAAAAAAGTCAATAGGCCCTAGATTCACTCCTTGATGCAGATTAAAGAGATTTGTGTCTTAGATTTACAATCATTATTGTTGCTCCTTTTTATTTTCACCTTTTAGTACGTTTTTTAGATTTGACACAATTAATATAAATTATCTAGTATTTAAGGGTTCATTTGGCATTACTGTGGTTTTTTATTTTTTGGTTTTTTGTTTTTTAAAATCATATGATGTATGTATATAATGAATAAAAAATTAGTCAAACTTATTAAAATCATTATAATTTTAAAAATTGACAACAGAAAAGTAGAAACACCTTTTTTTGTTTCCTGTTTTTGGTTTTTTTTGTTTTCAAAAAAACTGAAAAGTGAAAACAAAAAACAATGTCAAACAAGTCTTAAATTATTGATTTTATTAGAGAAGACAAAACTTTCAAAATAAAATTACATGTTTGCATTGTTCCCTTAAAAAAAATTATTTTGTTCAATCAATTAGCATAAACTATTACAACACAAAGTTTTATAACATTTTATAAGGTAGCTAGGTACATTAACATACATATTAATATATCACAACGATTAGTTGGGAACCGCGGGTTTGTGAGTAAGGTTGGTGAAAATGGTGGAAAAATCACATAAATCGAGTCCCAATTACCATCCACTGATGACTTGTAGACTTGTATTTTTTTTTTTTTTTTTAAGCTAGAGTTGGATTTGCACATTTACCAAGATACAATTTTGACCATTAATATCTTTAATTAGAGGTTAGTAAAAATTCTGAAAAAAAATAATTTATAAAAATAGACATTATGACAAATCCAACAACATATTTTATGATCATATTTATAAATTATATATTGGTAAAAAAAACTAAGTTAATGATGACCTATGAATAGTGGAATTTTCCAACTCTAGCTTATAAAAAAAAAAAAAAAATAGGGAGTAGTTGTGATAATATATATGCCCCTTTTAATACTGTTAAAACACAATTACATTTTGATAGTATACATGGAGAAACATCATTGCACATTTGTACATAATAATATTTAGCCTTTTTCTCCCATAATAAGTTCAATAAGCCAAGGCCCAATAATAATAATTGTATGATATAGGAAAATGATTAATAAGTTCATATTAGATAAGATAAGATATGACATGGTATATATTATCTCTATTTCATATTATTTACAACAATTTGACATTACGATTCGACATAAATGTCTAATCGTTGCAAATAATATGAAACGAAGGTAGTATATACATTATGAGGAATTTGGATTATCTTATCTAGATCAAAAATCAAGACGCTTAACAAGAAATATTTCACGTTACATGTTAGTGAGAATTTGTAGTGTATCTTTAAACTCTTAAACCAAGACTACAATAAATAGGTACATCTTTTAAAAGCGGAGGGACAGTACGACAACACTATAAGTTAAAACAAACATAATCTTATATATTGATGAACAAAATAAGTTATGGTAGCATGTGTTTGTTGTTAGATCTGCAAAAATTGCCTGTAAAGGAAGAAATTGACGACCCACAAGATGAGGGTTAAATTAGCACCATAAGTTATAAGTATATTCATATAATTGTGAGGTGGAAAACCGTCATATGTTTACAGAATAAACCCATATCATTCATATATAGTGCCACTGCCATTTTGATTACTGTGTATGTTTTTATGGGATTGGGAACCGCGTAAATATGGCATTTTATTGTTCTTTCTTTCTTTTTTATTTTTTTTATTTTATTTTTAATATCATCCAAATAAAATAAACCTTAATGGAATTTTCAGCAGTTCTGTTTCTGTTCATGGAATAATTGAACATTCTGTTTATGCACAAAACTCCATGTATTGTATGTGAGTTTCATTATTAACTTGTCTTATTCGATTATATTTCAATTGAAGTGAGAGCGTATTTATAGGTTAGGTTTATTTGTTCCTACCACTGAGCTTTCATGATCATAGTCTTTGGGAAAATATATATAAGTGCGTTGAACAGGAAGATCTACCCTAGCTTAGTGTACTCCTTAATTAAGCTAATGTATACTAAGCTAAGCTAGTTAATCAAAAGCAATGCATTGCATCCATATATTGCATACCTTTACATACCGAAGTTGATAACTTTTGCATCAATCAATTATGATATAAAATTAGTTTTCGCCTTTTCGGATAGACAATGTTTATTTATTTATTTATTATTTTTACACCGGGATGGACAATGTTTCATATCATCGAATGCAATATAACATTCTAAAAGATATTTTTTTCCGCTTGACAAAAATGTACTATTGGATACAATTTGGGTTATGTAATAGGTTTATGAGTACTGAAAATTTAATTGATGATAAAAATTGATGCGATATAGGCTATAAATACATTTTATTTATGACCAGAGTGAGCTACGTTACTCCTTAAGTGATGAATGATAGGCTAATTGTTGGTTAAGCTATTAGGGATATCTAATATCTAATGTCAAAATTTCGTCTATATCATTTATCTTTCATGACTCTATCCATAATTACAAGTACACCATGTGCAGTGTTGAAGGCTTGAAGCCACCAACAAATTGATGGGTTCACACAATCCCAAATTTTCAACTCTACATATGGTTCAATATATGATCAAAAGCAAAGAAAATAGTTGATTAATTTATTATGCGTATGGTATGCATGTCTAAATACATCTATATTTAAATAAAGCCTAGATAATTAAACTACCCATATTATTTTGGTCCATTAAAAAGAAAGCGATATCATATGATAAAAACAGTGAAAGTGCATCTAGAAAATCTTACTCAAGTAATGCTAGTAGTACTAGTAGTTCCTTCAATATGTGTTGTTGTCTTCTATTCGTCGCTTATGCTCGTCAACTCTCGCAGGTAGGGCACTGTTATCACCTCTATATTGTTTCAACGCTCCCACTATATTTCTACTTTTTCCTGTTTATTATCAAATTTAAATTTTATTTAATAATAAATCTAAACAAAAGAAAAAATAGAAAAAAGGGAAAGTTGCTATTAGCTACTGCTAAAGTGCTAGCTATCTGCTCTTTTATCCGATGGTACCCTATCAAATCTACAACCCCAATTATTTTTTTATTTATTAATTTTTTTTTTTTAGTGTTGGTATTTTTAGGTAAAGAAAAGGTAGCAGTGACACACAAGTCAACCTGATCCGAGTAGCGGACAAAGCTCTTTAAAAAGGGAAAAAGTAAGGGAATTCTCAGTTTTCACCTCGTCCCAAAGAGTCTTATAGTGAAAGTGTGGAGCACTGAAACCTGATTATACAACTTTATAGTTATGAGATGCAAATCTTTTAAGCCCTTTTTGGTTCGGAGGAATTGGGAGGAAAAGAAAAGAAAAGAAAGTAAAAATATAAATTCCTTTATTTGGTTTTAAAAATTAAATGGGATTTGACAAGAAATAAAGGGAAATGGAAGGAAAACCTTATTCACAAAATTCTCCCTTTCCTTTCCTCCCAAAATTGGAGGAATTTGGAAGGAAAGAAAGATTTTAAATATTTCAAGTTTAAAATTAGATTTCCCTTACCTTCTCTTCCTTTATTAATATGATACCTAACAATAAATTCCTCTTCTTTTCCTTCCTATACTAATATCAAACCAAACATTAGATCATATAGTTTTTTCCTTTCCTTTCTTCTTCTTCTTTCTTTTCCCTTCCCTTCCCTTCTATTTCCTTTCTTTCCTTTACTAATTATTGAACCAAACAAAGCCTTAATTAGACCAAATCTCACTCTCTGTTACCCTTTTGTTTTTCTTCTTTTACAACTTATATTATTGTTTCATACGCTTTTATAGATCGTCAAAAAAACTAAAGGTAATATCATTTTCTTTCAGAAAAAAAAAGAGAATATTTATATTCTAAAATACTGTAGTTAATAATAATAATATTCCCAAACAAAAAAACCTACCTATATATCTACAAGCTTTCTTCTTCATTTTCCACATTCTTCTTCTTCATCCCTAACCAAGCAAAAAAAAAAAAAAAAAAGAGAGAAAGAGAAAGAAGAGAGAAATTATTGTTATTATTATTACTACATTAATTTGATATCTCAAGCTATGTTAAACCAAAGTTTAATGGAAGATCATCATCATCAAATTGGATTATCAAGCTCTCAAATGGGTTTTTACCTAAACTCTACAAATCTGACTAGTTTTTCTCCACCACTTGTTCTAAATCATCAACAACAATCTGATGATCTTAAACCCTTCAATAATTTTTTACCTTCTTCTTTTGGTTTAGATCATGTAACTTCTACTCTTACTCAAGCCCTCCTTTCTTCCACTAAGCCTAGACAAGAAGATTACTTATCCTCATCTTTTACTAACAATTTACCTCCTCTTTTTTCTCCTCAAAAACCAACCCCAAATTACAACCTATGGTAAGCTTACTTAGCTAGCTAGCACTCTATTACGCGTAATAATCTAACATGATATCAGAGCCATTGAATGTTTCGTGTTTTGTTTGAAATCGATTTTTTTTATATATTTGATTGATTTTTGTTTTTGTTGGATCTTTCGATTGGATAGGGCGGCGTGGGGAGAAGGGAAGGAGTACCAATTAGCTGGGAGCAAGAGAAGTTGTAATGGAGATGATCCACTACTCGGGGTATCGACCGTGAAGATGAAGAAGATGAAAGCAAGAAGGAAGGTTAGAGAACCAAGATTTTGCTTCAAAACCATGAGTGATGTTGATGTTTTAGATGATGGTTATAAATGGAGGAAATATGGCCAAAAAGTTGTCAAGAACACCCTTCACCCTAGGTAAATATATTCTATATCTAGTTAAACATAAACATTTACTCATTAATTTTTACTACGTCTTCATTAATTAGTACTTATTAGTTTGCATAATCATATAATATACATCTTGGCATCTTGCATGCATGTTCATGAGATAATTATTGTTATAGTTGTTGTGGCATTGATATTATGATAATTAGAAGCTATTTTGAAGAACTAATTACTACAAAAAAATTATGGAATCATAGTAATGCTATTAAGTGATCATTAGTCATGCTCCTAGATTAATTGTAAGGCGATCGATGAAGGAAAAAAGGATTTAATTATGGAATTAGAAAGAAATGATCAATTATATCATTATATTATTCTTTGATAGATCCAAAAAAATTATGTAGAGTAACAATTATACAATGATTCCTCGTCATTAAGCCAAAAAAATAGTAGTATAGGGAAACTTTTACATAGGGGTAAAAGTAATGTGGGGTGGACCTTAGATAATCATTTTACATTTTAATCTATCTAACAAAAAGGTGTACATTATATATATGATCAAAAGAATTACTCCATTTTTTATAATTTGAAAGAACTTTGTGAATCTAGTACTCCTTTTGTAGGTACTGTACATCTTTTTTGTATTAATCAATCGATTATTTAAGAAGTACTTCGTTTAATTAATGAGATAAAAGTTGTAAGGAAAAAATTAAATTTGTAGATGCATCTGAATTAGCCTACAAGGATGAACCCAGTGGGAACACAAAAAAAAAATTGATATATGCAATGGGGTGACATGTTAATTTAATAATTAATTAAAGGTGTAAGATCTTCATTAATTTAATTTGAATGTATTTAACCCAATAAATAATTCAATTACATGGAACGATTTTACTGTATAATCTAACAATTAAAATGCTGGAGAAAGTGTTGATTGTGGACTATTAATTTTTGAATCGAGTGATGAATATTGCCGCATAATTATAAGTTTTAAAATCTGGTAACTTTGATGATTATTATTAATCTTTCATCAATGTGGCTCAGGTAATTAATTAAATAAACAAGGTTTTATTCTAGTGGCTTTTCAATTCTGATCAGATCGTCTTTCTATTCTGAAAAGTTTTTTTTAAATTTTTTTTTATACTTATTTAAAACAACTTTTTGGCAAAAAAAAAAAAAAAGAAAAAAAAGTGTAAACTTTTTCAACAATTTCAAACTAATATTTTAATTTTAAGAGTAATACTTTGTATATTAATTGTCAAAGTCATGCATTAACAAACATGAAAGTCAAAGTGAAAAATAGACGGATACTGCATAACTCCTCAACTTGAGAATCTTATACTATTTGACATCTATTGTAGTTCATCACAAAGATTACACACCTCTTTTTAGATTTAGTTATATGGTATTTCGTCAGCTAATTAAATCCCTAATAAATAATCCCATTTTTCATGTTTACTTTTTAGCTAGCTTTTGAGCAATGTTTTCTACTTCGAATTACCCTAAGATCAAGAATATTAAGGTAATATAAGTTAGGACTACTTAAATTGAGTAAAATAAAAGGCTGTTCTAGTTCAATTTTTTTCTAAAATCAGTTTTAATAAGTTTATATAAGTTTAGTCGTTCAAATATGTTAAAATCAAACTATAGTTTAAGGTTATTAGTATCACTCACGCGTATTTATAGTACGAGTTCTGTGCTAATGAACATATATGGATGACAATAATTAGTTCTTGATGACCTTGAACTAACATTTTACTACCTCTTTGACAAATCGAAAAAGCAGTGAAAAAAGTAATGCTAGTGCATCTTGAGGATGTGACGATCTGAGTTGAAAGCATTAAATTAAACATGATCGACTCGACTTCTCACCAAACTTGGTTAATAATGTCAAGCTTAATTAATTGAGTAAAGAATCAAAGAAGAATGTGTTAATCTTTAATTATTCTTTTCCTTTTACACACTTGATTTAATCTCTTTTGTTTGTAACTTAAGAAAAATATTGAAAGTTTTAAACGAGCAAGTGTATAATGAGTTTCATATATTTTGTTTAATTAGTTTGGAAGATGTAATATTATCAATGAGTGTGCATAGTATAGTTCACTTTGCCAACTTATTCAACAAAATGCACGATAATATGGCTGTATTATATACATATTTACTCACAAAAATACGCTATTACAAGTATATACTATAGGAGATTGCTTCTTAAGAACACTTAGAAATTAAAACCCTAATTGTGTTTTATGTGGCAGGAGTTATTACCGATGCACACAAGACAACTGTAGAGTGAAGAAGAGAGTGGAGAGACTAGCTGAAGATCCAAGGATGGTCATCACAACTTATGAAGGTAGACACATCCATTCTCCCTCCAACGACCTCGATGAATCGCAAGGCGGCCAAACCCAGCTTAACAACTTCTGGTGATCATTGATCATATGCTACAAACTACGAATTCTATGATTTATAGTTAACCTAGTCTTTTCCCTTTGTGGTACCATGTATGTAGTCGTTTAATTACACTAATTGTCTACGACAAACACGTACGTACCGAGCTGCTGGTGTTGTTTTTAATATGCCATGCCAAATCCAAACCAAAATCATGTAGTTGTTATGTTTATTATCAGTTCATGTAAATGTCTAGTACGTAAACTTTGATTTTTTTTTGCATGTTATGTGGGTCGTCTATTTTATGGGAAAAATAATATACCAAGTAAAGCACTTGTAAAATTTACTTTTTACTGTAGTTCTTGATATAAGAGTTGTTGTTAAATTATTAGAACAGTTAAATGCTGTCATTTCCATTTTATATGTCTTTGACATTAAACGTTTAAACTGAAAATTTGATGTCAAGTTAGCAACTTCAATAGTTCATATTTCACAAATATATGTACATATATTAACATGCACACTTTAATTTGCATTATTTGAGAATGAAAACAGTTATTTTGGACTTTTGGATATTGTTTGCACAAAATAAAGAGTATCTATTTTCTAGGAAATGCTATTTTGCCTTTCTTTTTAGCTAAAGATAACAGTTTTCAAATGTTACTTTGTTTTAGATTGTGATTAGATTTTGCTTTATTTAGCTAAAGAAAACAGTTTAATTTGTATTATTAGTTTGTGATTAGATTTTGCTAAATATTCTGCTCTGATCCCAATGTTTTGGTGCGCAATAATGTTCATAGAAATGCTGGTAGATCATCAAATTTCTCTTTTTAAACTTTCATGATTTTCATTGACATGTATGGAGTACTTTATATTCAATATTATCATTTTTAAAGTAATACTATATTGAGTTATTGAGAGATTATTATTTTAAATGTTACCTTCGCTTCAATTTGCAATGATTTGACATAAAGTGTAGGTGGTAAATGTCTAGTCGTTGCTCGTAATTTGAAACAGAGATAGTAACAAATGAATTGCATTATTATGAGCATTGTGGCGTGATACAATCTATCAACAAAATCAATAATAATTTTGCTTAGTTACATCCATTTAATACCGTTTAATATGACATTAAATTAAATGACATCGCAATTTGTAAAGAAAGACACCCTTACAAATGTAAAGTAATACATAAAAACAAGCTAAGAGTTATGTAACTAATATTCTCCCTATACCTATATTCTAATGGATGTTTCAGGTTTGTTCTAGCTACTCTGGAGTACATAATTTATTTTAACATATTGTCCTGACAAAATAAGCTCTAAGAAATTCATACATACTCCCAAGTTCAAATAAAATAACCTAACATAATTTAAACCAAACTCAGTTGAAAATAACAAAATTGTCTAAACTTTTTTTTTTTTTTTTTTTTGGTTGACGGGACTATTTGAGCTTATTAGATCTGATATATGTTGAGCATATACATCATAATTTTCTTTTTCTGCAATTTATTTATTTCTACTTTGTTAAGTGAAAACTAAAAATCAAATAAATTAAGAATGGGCCTTCTTTATTTGAATGGATTGCAACGAACAAAAGCAGCTCTAATGGGTCGGTCTGCTATAATTGGGCTTGGCCCATTTACATTTATCAGTCCAAGAGCATTTTCGTTTCTCAAGTCAAGAGTCTTACATTTTTCACACATCTTCGCTTTAAAGCTTCTTTAAATATCACCTGAGCCCACTTTCCTGTCATATGGGCCTTTTGGTTTCTACTTATTTTTAGGTCTAAAATTGTTAACAAATCAGCCCACTTAAGTTATTTCTTGTTCATTAGTATCCTTTTGTCTTCAAAATTGTTTTCCAATAGTAATTCATGCGTTTTTTCATGATTAATCTTGAACATTTTCAATTTTCTATAATACTTCGTGTATTACAGCCTTAGTTGCCATTAACAATAACAATAAACTAATTTTCACACACACTCACACACACACACAAAAAAAAAAAAAAAAAAAAAAAAAAAATAAAATAAAAAAAACCTTAGGATAGTGCACTAAGGAGAGCCTTTCTATTATATGAATTCGAACTTAGAACTTTGTGTAGGCATGGAAGGTTAAACTTGTGCTAAAACTCATATGTTCACATGATCCTCTTCATTAATGATAATTATACTCTATTTCGAAAATTTACAAGAATGATTTAAATGCTAGATAAGAATCATGTCAATTACCACTTCTTTTGCATATCATGCATCTCAATTCTCAAATGATCTAGAATTGTATATGACTACCCAATATTCAACTTTAAAAATTATTAAAAGTCGACTACTAAGAAAATTAGAATGTATTACTCCATATAATAATGTACTATAAACCGGAACAAGATCCAAATAATCAAACCCTCAACTCCTTAGTGAAGTGATCTCAACAGCTAAAGTATCTTGCAAATTACATCTTTTTAAAGATATTGCATCATACCATTAATTAATTGTAATATAATCAAATTACATATCGACACTTGTCGAGATAAGCTTAAGATTAGATGGAAAGCATGTGAATTAGTGGTTAAACAAAGATTATTGTAATGAGATGTACCTTTGTACAGTATTGATTTTGGAGTACTAGGTTGTACGTGCTAAAGGAGCCAACTAATACAGAGTTGTCTGTTTGTATTGACTTTGTGCTCCAAAATCAACCACCATTTTGTGGACAACCTTGCTCGATATAGATAGATCAAGACAACTACAAAAATCCATATTTTTAGTTAATTAATTACTAACTTTTTAATGATAATTTTGATATGTCATATCCGTTAATTAAGCCATAATGTTGAAGAATCAACTACTTCAAATTTAATTTCAAGTACAAAACACTGTATTTTTAATTTGAAGAACATATTTCTAGTGTACGGATTTTGAGAGGTAACTTCCTCTTATTTCTTCTTAAGTAGTATTAGTGCATAAAAATTCACATGAAAGTGTGTAAAGACCTCCAAATTCTTGTATAATTAAGTCCAAAGTGTTGGTTCTTCAAATATTGTGCTCCGTCGATATATGAATTCAATGTTAGTCTTTTAATATATTCTTGTCTGATCGCGATAAAGTATATAAATTGATTTTTTTTTTCTATTTAAGTTTATTTCGGATATGTTTGTAAAAATTTATGCTGGGACACAATAATGTCAATACAAATTATATTATAGTTATATCACCACATATACCGTAAATGCTATCCGTATGTAGTAAATACTTTTAATATTAATTATAGTACTTCATATTTCAATTTTTAACATTGGATGAACACAACTGGCTATATAAAAAGAGGACGTGCCATATTTGTACATATGGTTATATGATGCATTTAAATTTTCAGCGGTTTTATTTGGTAACCTAGCCCACTATTTACTATGCTTTTAATTTTTAACATTAAATGGTGAATTAATTCTTCGAGATTTTAATTCGGATTGTCTTCCTTTGTTACCTATGTACGTAGAGAGGTGTGGTCCTTAAGTTAAATGTCTAAACCCTCACAGAATCAATTAATCATCATCTAGCTACGTAGCAGTAGAGCACCTGAGGGTTTAGCAAATCCTTGTCTTATAGGAATTTGATTTGATATAATTACCCCCAATTTGTATTATATGCAACTTTGGTGTAATGTTTGTGATATACGAATTAAAGGTAGTAATAGGTCAATAAAAAAAGTAACAAATAAATGATAGTTGTACGTGTTTGCTTTAGCTTGTAATTATAAGTAAAATTCACTTTAAGTTGTGACATAGATTGATAGTTTGTATTTAATAACTTAAATAATGTTAATTTTCACACCATAACAAGGTTAATTGAGGTGTCAAGGCATATAAAAAGACACGAAAAAATACATTTTTTTTTCTAATAAGCCAATTTATCCTTTGTTAAAACAAATCATTTTAAAATTATAATTATCAGAGTTCGTTGGTATAATGAAAGTTATTGGAACATAAAATTAAACAAAAGTGAGGCAAATAAAATCTAGACAACCCATCATCAAATCTCATGCATTAGCAAGTAATTATGAGTTTCTTACTATTATATATTAATTCGTATGAAAATGCCAAACTTTTTGTACGTATTAACGTACGAACTTCAACATTATAACTCGAGCAACAAATTTTTTTTATTTTTAAAGTACACTTTAATTAGCTTATAATATTGAAGCCAGCAAATTACATGCAAAAAACATCTTTATACAAGTAACAATAAATTTGTATTTTTGTTATGTTCTTAGTTTTTCTTTTTATAATTATAAAATCAATTAGATTCATAAAGTTGGATTTCCAATTAGAGCGGATCCTTGTCCAAAGGACGATTCCTCGAAGCCTCGTACTAATGTCATTGGAATCCTCCCAAAATAGGAGATATCCTTAAGCTTAGGCATACATAATTAACCCTAATACCATTCATATTGTCGCGCTTATTTTAATTAATTAAGCCTGCTTTGATCCTAATCTTAAACAGCTTAGTAATTAGTAGTTTAGCTAGTATCTTATCTAAAGAACAAAGTGATCTGATTTTATCATGATATCAAATAATGTACATTCACACTTCTTATAAAGGCGAAGGTTAAACTCATTTTTTCTTAGTTGCAGATAGATAAGGATTAATAAGTTCTACAAAAAGACTTGCGTGGACCTGGTCCACAATAATATTATTGTGGACCAAAGGTCTATACACACGCAACTGACATTATATTGAACATAGTGACCATTATTTTTAACATAGTAACCTTATTTTTAACATAGTAATCTTTATTAATACTACTACAACGTTTAATAATATTGTGAACTTGAAATACGACGCTATTACCCTAATTTTAGCATAGTAGCCTTTATTATTCATATTGATCAGTATATAAAATATTTCATTACAAAAATAACCACTTAGGCCTATATATTACCAAAATGATTTTTATTTCAACATAGTGACTTTTTTAAAATTATAGTGACCCTTTTTTGTTAATAAAACAACCATACTTTCTCTAATATTAGTGGTCCACAATAAATTAGTGTGAACCATGTCCATTTAAGAATTTGTATAAGTTCTAATAACATCTCATAGCCAAATAAGGTCTAATAAGGTTTGATAATTCTAGATAACATGATGAAAATAAGAGTTGATAAATTAAGATAACATAATACCTGTATAATGATTAATAAGTTCAAATAAATAAAAGAAGTTTAGAATTAATAAGATAAGATAAGTGAAATTCATGTAAGTAGAATAGTACTTAATTGTTAGTTCAGCTCAATCACATAGACAAAACTTATCTGTAGTACGGAGAGTAATTCATAATTGTCTACAATTGTAAGAAATGTCACTTATTTTTAATGGACTTTATCTAAATTACATATCTATAT